CGCTGCAAGATCAAAATCCCGCCCACCCGCACAGGTCTTTCCGAGAGAAGGCAAAATGATCGTGATGGCTCTACAAGTGCACCCTGTTACACTACAGAACCGGAACGATACGAGAGCACATTTCTTTTCTTGCTTGGTGAGATCTCTTGATGAGTGTCAACCTGCTTCTTTTTTTTTGTTGAAAGGTAAGCTATATTCTTCTCTCATCTATGTCATCTTTCTTGGTAGTATGCATCTATCTCATCCTCTCACTAGTCTATGTTTTGTATGTTGCTCTCATATGCTTGTTCTATTTTGTGTCTTTTTTTTTTTTTTTGTGAGGAACAAGCCCTCAAGGGGCCCAATCAGACATCACATTGTTCTGGGCAAAGGCCCCCAGCAAGCCAAGTGCCCGCCCTAAGTGAAGGCGGGCCTGAATATTCGTCAAAGGCAAAATTCGACATTTCCATATGTGGGTATTCAGGCTCTCGCAGCACGTGAGTTGGTTGGGTAGACGCGTGAGGCTCACATTGCTGCGTCATACAGTTGGCCCAGGCCTTGACAGTTGCGCCTGGGCACACATACACAAAGCAGGGCCGATACATTGGGAAGCAGGCCATCGGCCTTTGCAAAAGCAATAGTGCCGACACACCTGCCTGGGAGCCCTGCACAGATGCAGCAAACAGCCCAAGTCCGGAGACTCAGGCCGTGCCTAACTGCAAAGTGCCCAGGCCCTCAACTGTAGTCTCGGGCCTGGGCGCAGGGTCTGAGACCCAACCGGAAGCTACTGGGAGCTTCCAGCCAGGCCACACGCAGGATCCAGGAGGCTGCCACTTCCACAAAAGGAGTGAGGCAGCCCAGGCCAGGCATTCTGGCCAGTGCTGGCAATGCGGAAGTGCTGCTGCGCTCTCGCTTGATGCTGCGCTGCTGCCAAAGGCGCTGACAGGGCACGTAGAGGTGAAGAGGGGTGCTGCAGGGCAGCGGGGCGCAGGCGGCCATAGCCGGGCTGCTGGGCGTCAGGGGGTACAGCGGGTGATCTGGTGGTCTTCAGGGAAGGAGGCGCTGTGTGGAGTAATCAAGGTCTGATTGAGGGTGATGAGATACGTACCTGGTGCATGAAGAGAGGTCGGCTATGGGGTTGACAGTCATGTACATTGGTCTTCGAGAGTCGAAGTGAGCCTGTTGCGTGAACCAGCTGTAGGTAGGATATTCGGGCAGTGTAGGTTGGGCGCTGGGCGCCAGACAGAGAGGAGCGACTTTGGATACTGTGTTTGTGTGGCCTACGGGCTTGGATATTGACTCGTTACTTCATTGTATTGCTCTATATGGATGGTTTTCTCGGTGCGTTTGTACTCTCTGCTTGGACACGACTACCTGGACATCTGTGTGATTTCGCAACTTGGTTTTCTGTATATCGTTCACACTCATATTCCTTGCTTTTTTTTTTTTTTTTAATAATTTGGAACATTTCTCGCTTTATGCATGTCATCCTTGTGCAGGGGCCATGTTTATGTTTAATCTTCTCTCTGTGAAACGGTATTCACCAGTTCGAAGTAGCTGATGTAGGACCCAGGGTTCGATCCCTAGTTCCCCAACTTACCTGTGTACAATATCTGTGACAACTTGAAGAATTGA